AAGGCTACAGTGCGAGTCAGGGTGTGTATGGATGCATGAGTGACTAGGCATGGCAAGAGCATAGGGAGGTAGGATTAGGTGGGAGAGACTTATCCCAGTGATTTGCTATCTTCTCTGTTGGCTTCCCCATTGACTTTCTGGAGACGCCAGCAGGAAAAGTGGAAAGTAGCGTTCCTCAAAAACATATTTAGTTTATGAACTGTGCTATGGCACGTGGTGCCCACATTCAGTAATATGCCATGTGTTTGTTTTTTCACAGTATGCTCTCTTAGCTGTCATGGGAGCATATGTACTTCTGAAACGGGAATCATAAAAGAAACTGGAATTGCCTCGGACAACTTATCAGCATAGTTATATGAAGAGATACTAATATATTTGAAACATCCCCTTGTCTGCAGATAATATGTGACATGTGCAAACCATATTGTATTTGTTTTGTTCCTCTTCATGTTGCAGTCTTAACTGTGGGCAGCCCAATTGCCTTCATTGAGTCACACTGATATTTTTTTTTTTTATGTCCATCTTCCCCAACCTGGTTCAGCTCTCCAAATTCTCAGTCAAAAAAAGTCTTTTGGACATCTTGGGTGGAGATTACATAAATTGTGGTCTAAAACCAAGTTAAGGAAGGCAACATTCTCTTGGTTGTTTTGTTATCAAATAATTGTTTTAATTTCTACACGTTCACACAATTGATACCAAAATAGTGGTGAAATTTCTGAGGGAAGTGGTAGGAGCCTCATAGAATATGTGTTCACCTTTTCGCACCAGTGACAAAAAATGGATCTGCTTATTTTGAAAATATTTGGGAGAATAGTTTCATAGCCGTGAATCTTGACTCTACTGAGAATTTTAATTTTTATTACACCTGTTGTGCAAGAAACCTATTGATGCAATTTGTCCCACCTTCAGATTATTCCCATCTCCCACCCGCCCCACCCGCCCCACCCAGGCAGCAGTTCAAACAGTTACTGATGATTTGTTGAGCAATAGACCCTTCTTCTGAATGATTTTACAAAGACAGACAAATGCTCCTAACAAAGAATTGAAAACTACAGTTTTGATTAAGGTGAGAAGAACATTTCTGCAAGAGTGTAATTCTTCAAGTTGCATTGCTTCCTCCAAACCAGCTTGAAAATCGAGACCCGCGATGATATTATCTGAGTTAGTGCCTTACACTTATACAGGTAGTCCTTGCTTAAGAGCACTAATTGGGACTGGCAACTATGCCAGTGACACAGTTGCAAAGCATGACATTACATGACCGTGCCAACTTAACCATGGCAGTTTGTGCAGTTGGGGTTGTTCAGCAAATCTTACGCAGTCATTAAGCATGACATCACATGATCGCCATTTTCAACTTCCTACTGGCTTCCCCATAGACTTCGCTAGTCAGAAACCAGCCGTGAAGGTTGCAAATGGCAATCAAGTGGCCGTGGGATGCTGCAGTGTAACTACGCTTGATTGAAAAATGTAAGGTAGTTTTCAACTTACAACCACAGTTGAGCCCAAAATACCTGTTGCTAACTAAGCAAGACAGTTTTTAAGTGAGCTTTGCCCTATTTTACGACCTTTCTTACCACAGTTGCTGCTGCAACAGTTCTAAGTGTGAAAAACAGTCACAAGTCACTTTCTCCTAGTTCTGTTGTAACTTTGAAAGTCACTAAATCAATGGTTGTAAGTCGAAAACTAACGGTATGCTCCTGCTAAGTTCCCTTAGTCATCAGTCAGTCCCAAGTGTTATATTGATTTGGATTTGCAGCCTAAGAAAGCTATAGAAGAGTGTTCCTCAATTTCAGCAACATTAGGATGTGTTCGCTCGCTTGAATTCTGGAAGTTGAAATCCCCACATCCTAAATTTGCTGAGGGTGATAAACACTGCTATAAAAAGTAAGGAGGAGGATTTTAAAAAAGAAGTGATATCCTCTGCAGCTTTTTAAATTTAATATTTGTAGAGGCGTTCCCTTATTCAATAAAATATTAGAAAGCACATGAGGCCTACACAACTGATATATTGTATCAGGATTGCAGTCAGTAAGTGACAGTTAATAGAACAATAGTTTAACATAATGTGAGAACTTGGTAATCAGGAACTGTTTGATGATACCGCTTGGAAGTATGTATGAAGGTCCATCAGCTCAAAGTAGCTTTATTATAATGAAGTATGGTCCTATGCTTGGATACTTTGCCTGAAATTGCTGTTTCCCTATGCATTGAAAAAAGGGAAAAAAACTTTCCTTATTATAGGAGTTAGACAACCTTAAAATAAGAATCGGACTACTGAAAGTAAAATGAATGTGAATGATGCAAGATACTGGACCCAGACTAGGCCCCAAAAATCAGGAAGGCTAAAACTATAATAATAACAGAATCTTGTAAGTCTATGTATGTTATACCTTTTCCTCCTATTTAGTTTTAGAAAGTAAAATTCCTGCTTACAGAATTAGAAAGTTTTCTGCCTGAGCCTCTTCTGAATGTTATCTGCCTGTTGTGGATTTAAAATTTGTTTTACTGTTCATTGTCCTGGCAATATGGATTTTGCATATCTCCATCAAAGTCATCTTCTTTATTCTCTACAGTACTTTTGGGCTCTTGGTGTTATTCTTGCCGACATTTCATTAGCAGGCTGGGTAGCATCATCAGTGCATGTGAGAATGCCCCTTGCCTTTCTCATTAGTGGCCAGGTGCACCAGGGATATATTCTCCCCTAGTATTGAAATGTCCACAAGAAAACCACAAAGTTCAGCTCACCAAGAAACTTAACAATTGAATCCGGAGCTATGTATAAGCTCTAATAGTGGAACAAGGAAATGGAGAAAAGTTTGACCTAAAACCTTTTATTATATCTATGCTGTTGGCATAAGCCTTTGTAATTCCTATAGCTCCACTCAGATGGGGCTGGGAAATAGAATTTGTAGTGTAAAATCTCTACCCAAGATCACATTCTAGTTTAACTTGCTCTTCCAACTTTATTCTTAGCCTTTTAAATTCTTTTTGTGGCCTTAGGGAAATCACTTTAAAAATGTGAATAATCTGGGTATTTTGTTTAACTTCTGTCTTGCAATTTCATGGTAATAAATGTGTCAGTTCTTTCTCTGTTTTTTTTTTTAAAGTAAATTGCTGTAAAGGCTTGCCAGGTTTCTATGAAAAGACCCACAGAGAGTAAAAGGAAAAACAAGCTGTCAATTGAGCTATGTTAATAAATGTGATGCCCACCGATCGATCTCTCTTTGTTTTATCATGCTATGCAATAATATTAAAACATTGTTGTCTTGGTTTTATAACTTAACTGGATTCTATTTCTTTTCTGTTGTACGTATTTCTGTAGTTAATGTTGAGGATTTTTTCAAAAAAGCAACTTGGGCAAAACAGTTGTTTTCTTACATGGGAACGTTGCCATTAACAATTGGGCCTTTTGTTATTGGTGTAGTCTTCTTAAGAAAGGCAGTGATTTTATTATATTTTAGATCAATAATATCATTCAATTAATGCAAGTAATCATTCAATTAGTGTAAGTAAGAATACAAGTAATCCAAATAACATTAGATAAAGGACAAAATGTATTTTATATAAACTGTGAAGTATTTTATAGGCCTAAAAGTTTGAACAGTACTAAAAAAGAGACTAAAAAAGAAGGGAAAACAAGAAACAGTAAAATGGGAAAAAATGGGGAAAAAATCATGAAACGTTCATGTACTTTTGACACTAAAATAATGTTTTATACGAATAGTTACAAAGCAGTTGTAAACAATGAGTAAAATGTGGACTACACATTGTCTCCCCTAATCCTTCTTTTCATTAAACTAGACCTGCCCAATTCCTGCAACCGTTCTTCATATGTTTTAGTCTGCAGTCCCCTAATTATCTTTATTGCTCTTCTCTGCGGTCTTTCTTACGAACTGGGTAGACGTTTTGTATCCTGCAAGGGAATACATTTGTCTATTATCTGTATGTGAGAAAATGTGAGGAAATTGTTGTGGGTGACTGCTGACTGGAACATACGTTTTATGCTTAATCAATCTCTACTATCAGTTATAGGCAGGTTGTTTTAACTCCTCCATGTTAAAAATCACGAGGACCTGTAGCCCTTTTTCTGACAAACATATTTTATTAAGAGGCAGATGAATGCAGTACCCTCTCATTTCAAGCAATCTTTGAGGTATCATGTTCCTGTTTAGAAGAACTGATAGTATCACAGTTTGTTCAGCTGAAAAGAAGCTAGGGGAACACAGAGCCAATAAATGCATATGCATCTGACTCAGTTTCCCCACTGCTTCTCATCTGATATTTACTATCAGTTAGACTGATTAAATTGCTTGCTGAAAGGACCTGCCATTTCTCTACATGCCATAATTTCCAATATTCCACAGAAAGGTCCCATGGGCATTAGACTCCAAGCTGAACAATGTACTCAATGTCCTTTTTGCATTTTCAGTACAATGGGCAATCATTTCCTCATATGCTGGTGTCATTTATGGGCTCATTACAGACAGCGTTGTCTTCCCATCTATTTCCAATTTTGCTCATGTGGCGGAAGAATTTTAGAGGGATATCTTGATTAACCAGAGAAGAGTTATTGCTGTTATGGGACAGAAGTCCTATCAGTTCAGTCTTCCCCAATCTGATGCTTTCCAGAACTCCTAGAAGTCTTAATTAATGCGGCCATTGGCACATGGAAAAATCTGAATTGTAGCTCAGTGCATGAAGAGGACTCCAGGTTGTAATATTTGATGCACCCCATTACCATGTTACTGAAACTAGACAAATTGTTCCAGGAAAAAGCCTTAAGGAAGGCTGAAGGCAACATCCTTTTATCATTATTTGGTCTCCAAGTACAGGTAGTCCTCAGCTTACCACCATTCATTTAGTGAACATTTAAGATTACAACAGCACTGGAAAAAGTGACTTATGAACAATCCTCACATTTACGGGTGTTGCAGCATTCGCACAGTCACGTGACCAAAATTTGGGCACTTGGCAAACTGACATGTATTTATGACAGTTGCAGGATTTGGGTTCCACCAGGGACCTTCTCGGCCTGGTTTCTGACAAGCAAAGTTAATGGGGGAAGCAGGATTCACTTACTAACTGCGTGGTTCACTTAACAGCTGCTGCGATTCATTTAACAACCCTGCGGAAAAAGGTCATGAAATCAAGTGCAACTCGTTTAACTTGCTTTGCTTAGCAATGGAAATTCTGGTCCCAATTCTGGTTGTAAGTTGAGGACTACCAGTATACACGTCCACACAGCTTACAGTTGCCAAGGTTGAGAAATACTCTATAGCGGGGATTTTCAATCTTTTCATTGTACCACTTTTAGGATATGGCAATATCCGAGTACCACTAGTCGCCTAGCAAGGTGCCAAAAACTTGATGACCAAAAAAAAAGAAAAGAAAAAAGTGATGAAGTACAGATAGTCCTTGACTTACAACAGTTCGCTTAGTGACTGTTTGAAGTTACAATGGCACTGAAAAAGTGCCCCCCAAGCCACAGCCAAGCAAGACACCTGC